CGCCCCCTGCCGTACTCCCTCTTTCTCAGCCTGCTCACTTTCCTCATCCTCTATCAGTTCACATATAACTTCCTCAAGTTCAACCCAAATGTCACTGCTTGGCCTACAGATCACACTGTCCCACTCTTTGCCATCTTCCAACATCTCTTCTTTGTGTTTTCTGTCAACTGTTCCTTTACCGCCTTCCTCTGTAGGTTCTCCACATGTGTTTTCATCATTTTCGTTTATTTCCACAACCATTTCTTGAGTTTTTTCCTCTATCTCTTTGTGTACCCTCTCGTCTGTATCTGTATCCTCTCTAACACAGGTTCCTGGATGTTCTGTTGACTCTACAGAAAACTCTCTGGACTCCTCTAACAAAACATCAGCGATCTCCTGCATGGCACAAGAATCTGTGTGACAAGGTGAAAAATCAAGATTATCAACCACCTCCTCCAACTCCTCAATCTTCATGTCAGCCATAGTGCTATATTCATCAGTGTCCTCATTAGTTGGCAGTGGAAACTCCACGGAGTGTTGTGTCAACACTTCTGGAGTAGGAGGTTTCTCATTGTCACCTTGACTGTTCGTCGTGACACTAAGATCTTCCGCTGCTGTTCTGCTCCAAATGGATGACAGACAGAAAGAATTAAGTTATTCTACTAGGCCCAAAGAAGAAAATGCTTCTCATATGATGATTTAGGCATTTGTAATATCACATTTGGTGCAGCATTAAAGAAAAAGTGTAGATGAACAGGTTTATGGATGTGTTATGTACACAAATATAAAATAAGAACCAGTTTCACCTTTGGACATGTTTTTCTGGTGGGTCTCCTTTATCAAGCACATCTTCCTCTTCCTTCATCATATTTCCGTCCAGTTCATCTTCATCTTTTACTTCTGCCTGCTCCTGATCTCCAACAGGTAGTTCTTTACAGTGCAATGTCTCAGATTCTCTTGCCTCAGAGCTCTCCGACTGATCCACAGGATGTTTGTCAAGAGTGCAGTTCTCTTGTGAATCAGTATCTAGTTCAAACTCAGAGAGATTGTTAAGGAAGAAATCAGGGGGAAGACTTTGGACAAACATGCTCTCATCTTCCTCACTATTGTAATCATTATCATCACTGATGTCCCCTGCATCCTCCTCTTCGGAGGAAGACCCCACAGGTCCGTGGATGGGTGAGGTCATATAGGGCAAACTGAGGGATTTAGTGTGTCGGTTTTGTAGGTCAAGGCTGAGCGGTCTGTGTGGTTTGAATTCGTTCTGCATTTCAGAGCCTGGCTGCAGGTGTGTCTGTAGCTCTGCAGGATGATGGGAATTCTGAGCTTGCACCATGAGTTCATACTCATCATCTGAGTGACCAGGAGGTTCCACTGAGAATTCATTCACCTGTGAGGTACAGAGAGACAGGAAGTGAAAAGGAGTGCAAAATAGTTTATACATGCAAGTCTGGTCAGAAAGAACCCACAATTAGTAGTGGTTGACATTAAAAATGTTTTTAAAATGGTGACAGAAAAGAGCATTTAACAACTACAGTTAGGTTGCGATGGATTGGCGACCTGTCCAGGGTGTACCCTGCCTTCGCCCGATTGCCGGCCGGGATTGGCTCCGGCCCCACCCGTGACCCCGCTCAGGGATTAAGCGGTAGAAAATGAATGAATGAGTTAGGGTGGAATTTCTCAAATTGTATTGTCCTGTTCTACAAACTTTGTATTTAGAAATAAATATTGTTCAGTCTGTACAAGTGAAACAACACACACCTGGTAGGACACGCTGCAGTCCATATGATCCAAGACGCTGCAGTCCATTTGGTCCAGGAATTCAAAGTTATCTTGAACATAGCCAGACAGCTCCTGGTCCTCCCTTTCCAGCTCAGTTGAGTTGAGGACATCAGAAACATCGAACACACAGGTGTCAGCAGGCTGAGTCACTCCCGGCTGACAATCAGCTGGTTCCCCCCCTTTCATTTCTGTGAATGAAGCACAGGCAAGGGATGAGCTGATGTTAGTAAAATTTTTATAATCCGCACTACTGCAAGCGAGAATGCTTGGTTAAAAGAAACCAGTTCACTGTCAATTCATTTATTGAATGACACAAAATGTTGCTAATTGATTAATGGTTTAACGCATTTATTAATCAACAACACTAAAGTTAACAGCAGTACTAGTAGCTCCTTGAGTTTGTGCTGAAGGCTGGGCTATGTTTGAAACAAGTAAGACTGCACACAGTGTGGTCCAAACACATCTAAAGGCAAAAGTGTTTCAGCAGTGGAAGGTGTGGTGGCAAAGTGGGGGATGTAATAAAAAAAAAATTCAACTCCTTGGCAAGGTAACAATAACAGTCATTAGTTTCAGCCCTAATATTCAAAGTAAAGGTGGTCATGGTTATGAAGTAGGTGAAATTACCCATGTACTCGTCTTGGTCATCATCTGCAGCATCTTCATCATTTGTGTTGGAGTTCAAGCTTTTGGCTCGTCTATCTCTGGACACTCCTCCTGTCACCTGCTCCGGTTTCCATCTACAATCTTCACTCACCTCCTCTTCCTTCTTCTCCTCCTCTTTTGCTCCTTCACCTTTTTCCTCACTAACACCACCCTCAGCCACTGTAGTCCCTTTCATGTCCACATCTCCATCCCCATCTTTCTCCCTGTTATTTCTCCCCTCTTCCTCAACTTTCCTTTCTATTCCTTTGCTTTCCTTCTTCTCCACCTTCTCTCCTTCCTTCTTTCCTTCCACACCTGCATCTTTTTCCCTGCCTCGGTGGATGACCCTGTCACTCCCGCCCCCTTGCAGCACCCCTAATGCCAAGTTAGAGGTGATATGTAGTGGCACAGTAACCATGGTTGGCCCTGTGATGTGCATGGCTGCTCTTCGTCCTACTTTAGTGGAGAGCCCTGGGGATCTGGACTGTAAAGTCTCACTGCCTGCGAGCCCTAAACCCTCAGGATCAAGAGCTGTGTAGGTGCCCTGTGTCCCTGCACCCCCGCTTACTAGCCCAGTTCCCCTGCGGTACGTCACAGCATATTCACTGCCACCTATTGCACCAGAAGACACCGCGATTTCTGAGCCAGAGAGTGGGGAGGAGGTGACCAGAGGAGATATGTTGGAAGGAGGGCGCTGTTGAGGACGTCTGGAAGCTGGAATGTATTACAGACAGATAAGACCAGAGTAAAAGTACAACAGTACATCTGTATCTCAATAAAATATTCAGGACTCCTTTTTGTAGACATGTTCTGAGTTTGTCTTACAAATCAGAAAGGTTTTGTCCAATTTTCACTACATTGACACTGCTTAGTTTTTATGTGAAGGTTTTTACATTTCTGTTTCTGAAATGTTTTCTTGTGAAGCTTTAAACATTTAACAGTCATATTTGACTATTATATTTGCCTGGAACTATATGTTCTAACCAAAATTGCATGACATCCATGACAATCAAATCATTTATAACCCAAGGAGCTTCTTCTTTATTTGCACTGCTGCCCATGACCCCACCTCTAAGGCCATTACCTGGTGCTGATATCATGAGGTGACAGCCATCTATTGACTGATCACTTCTTTAGAATTTTTATTTATTTGTAGCACAACATTCCACTGAGATGCATTCACTTGCGAGTGTGGTTTGACTTTAACAGGCACCTATTGCAAAACCTAAATTCATAACACTGAACAATCATAACTTTCTTCATGGTCAAACACCACAAGAAGTAAACAAGAATTTTCTTATTTTATTTTATTTTTTTTGTAAAATTGGTGAAATGACCCTTTTAAAATTGACGATGTTTGCTTCACAGGTCAATTAAAGTGTCTAGAAATAAATATTGATTTCTTTATTTTGTGAAAATGTTTATGGTATTTATTTATCTTGAGTCAAAATCAGTTGTGATGTGTGTGAGAGGACACCACCTTCATTAGGATACAATGGGGTGCTGAGGGAGTCCATGCTTCTTGCTGGTCTTATAGCAGGCTGCTCTTTCTCTGATACAAAAAACATTTTTTTTAAATACATAAAATCAGGATAAGAGGGAAGAATTTTACAGCTCATCTGTTTCAGATAATTCATTTTTACAATATATATAAATGCCCTTCTCTTGCAGAGAAAAAAATCTTCCTTTATCAATTACATACATTTGCAATAAACGCCTTAAAACATACTGTAATAGTAAACACAGAAAAGTGATGACCATGAAAATCAAAGCTTTTGTACCTTTAGCTGAGTGTCTGTGCCTTCGCCGTGGGTCGGGGAATCGTCCTCCGATGTTGAAGATGGACATCCACTTCCTGCCCTTCAGAGATCCTTTCCTCCTGCAGTGAAGACAGACACTCATGTGGTTTATGTGCCATAAATTCAGCATATATTCTAAACACAACACAGTATTTCTTAACTGTCAGCATAATGCACTAGAGTTAGGTCTGACACGGCCTTTTCTAAACACCAGCATGATAAAGGAGTTGATATACATTTGCAATGTAATGACACTCCAGAGAAATGAATGTTCTACTCACTTATCTGTGCCTTCAATTATAGCATGGTAGGGTCTTATGGCTAAAGGACCATCCCCTGGACTGATGTTCCCAAAGTTGATGATGTGCTGAGTGTGAAAAGGCTTGAAAAATCCTTCATCCTGATTGGATATTGTTGCTGGGGAGGGGAGGGGCTTTCTTTGCTCATTTGATAGACCTAAATAAGATGGAAGAAAGAGACAAGGGTTGGGTTAGTGTGTGCTTCTGTCTCTGGATGGTGTGTGTGTGTGTGTGTGTGTGTGTGTGTGTGTGTGTGTGTGTGTGTGTGTGTGTGTGTAGTCTAACCTTGTTCAGGAAACAGCTGAGGGACGTGTGTGAGGATGAACTCCACTACAATGGACTGAACCCTGACCTCCATGAAGGCTGCTGTACCGTTAAATCCAGACGCTTCAATGTCCTTTGACCTTAACATACAATAGTTTGATTGATTATTGATTGACTGAGTGGCTTACACCTGACTCTTCACAGGGAAAATGGCACAGTGGACACAAGTGAATGAATTAATGCTAAAGAAATGATGAAAGGAGGAAGGAAGGAAAATAACTGTAATACATAATACAAACTATCTCAATTCATTAAAAAAGTAAGAATTTAAAAAGATTAATACTCATTAAGTGACATATTGGACTAAGTAATTAATCTTGTTACATGTGCTTCTGAAATGCACAAATAGCCCATGTAAACTGAGTTGTCCAGCGGCGTCAGAGCAGTCAGCAGCTGTATTACTCAAAGGCACTTTGGCAGCATACATTAATCTACCTGAGGAGATTGGGAGCCCAAACGATGGCCAGGTTCCTTGCGTGCATGTTGGTCTCTGAGGAATATGAAGCCATTTTGACAAGATGGCGCATCAGAAACTCCAGTGTCCTTAAGGAAAGAAGGTGAAGAGTTAAATCTGCAATAGCTGAGTTTTTGTCCACAGAAACAAGCCATGAACATAACATGGACATACAGATGGATGACAAAATAAGGGAAATCTTAAATTTAAAAAGTGAAAATATCAAAATATGGGTCACTGATTAATGGGCAGATTATTTTCTTTATTGTTTGATTTATGCTTTTTCCATATGAGGTATAAATTTTGGAAAAATGAAAATTTTGACTTTACAGAATTAAAGGTGGAGTCCTCAAAAGTGGTTTGTCCAACCAACAAATCAGGGAAACAGTATATTAGTCTTTTATTGAGATTACTGTATTCATGAATTAACGTTTGCAATTATTCCTGATGGCAAAATCTATGTATAAGTTGCCAAACTGAGCAAAGAGACACACAGGCTGTGTGCAGATTCCCACTTTTTCCCAAATAGTGTGGATTTTCTTAAAAGCCAGACACAAACTCAACTAATTCTTCAGTAAAATATTGTAACAAAACTATTACAATCAGGTAACTGTCACTAAGATGCCTGAATCACAGGCAGGGAGGACTGAAATGCAGACACACATGCAGGTAATGTGCACAATGATGGCAAAGGCTTGCAGGCAGACAGGAAGAAAATCAGGAGATAAGATGGCACGAACAAGATTCTACAGCCTACAGAAGCATGTTCAAGACTTGGCTGAGAGCAAGTGTAACAGACTGGTGTAAGTGAAGGTCAGGTAACTGAGAATGGAGATTGGATGAAGGATGGCAGGAGACAGAGAGGCCAAAATCAACAGGGTTGAGACAGCAAACATGAATAACCACAGAGAAATTACAATTATTGCCTGATACCTTCCGGGTTGCAAGCAAGAGCAGACGTCTTTACTGCTCCTCTTGTCTGTTCTACGATTTTTCATATCTTCTACATTTTCAAGTCTTTGAACAAATTCTACAACTATTAAAATGCCTCCAAGAGGGAAAAGAGCTAATAAATCAGATGCGAATGAGGAGGTTGAAGCAGAAGAGGATTATATTTCAGCGGTGCAAGTAACAGAGATGTTGAGTCAGCAGAAGCAGATGTACACCGCACTGTTGAGCCAACAACAAGACAACTTCAAAGGTTTTGTGCAACTACTTATGGAGACAAATAACAAGAGACTCGACGACATGACCAGAGAAATACAGGAGATAAAAACGAGTTTGCAGTTTACCCAGCGAGATGTGGATGTGATTAAAGCAGCCATGGGTGAACAGAAAATACAAACCAAGGAAACAAGGGATGATGTCTACAAAACTTGTGAGAGTCTAATAGCCATAACGGATAAAATGGAGCATTTGGAAGCACAGTCCAAGCGAAAAAACCTGATCTTCGAGGGAATCAAGGAGTCAGCTGGAGAAAGCTGGACGGA